TAGAAACAGATTGAGACCGAACAAGATGAGCCACGCATTACTGAGTAATCAACAACCCCATGGTGCCCAGACAATTTGTTCAGTGGATAGGGTTAACTGGGAATTCCTGTCCAGGGGGTAATCGGCCATTTTTAAAAATTCTTTCCATAAAAACTAATTCGAAATGATCCAGAAGATTCCTTTTCTCTCCAGACAGAACACAACGGCATCAAAAATCAGAATCATCCCACAAACACCATGATGACCTCCTGATTGCGCATATGGCCTATGCACAGGAATTCATCAGAAGCGCTTAAAAATGTCCAAGGAAGGGGGAACAAAGTGAAGGACAAGGAACGAAGCAAAGCGAAAGTGATAGCGAACGAGAGCAAGGGATTGAGGGAGAGAGAGCTAGTCTGCGGGACTCTCGCTAGCTCACAATAAACAAAATCGATGGGGCTCGCTGGGCGGCCTCCTCGCTCTGGCTATATGCTACAACACCTGCGAGATAGCCTAGAGAGACAACACGGAGGAAAGCTGGATGATGGAAGCTCCGTGCAGGAGGGAAGACCAGGTCTTGGATAGGATGTCTAGGACTAGGAACGGGAGCTATGGCCTATAGGAAACGTGCGGCTAAGAACACCACCCCCTTGAATACATAAGCGACCAGTGATCAGAAACTCTAGATATACTGAATTGCCGTTCTAATGGATGAGGACACCAAGTAAGTACCCATTCCGCACCTTCCCAAGAAAGCGGGGAGGTTCTCTTGGGAAGAGCAACTCAAAACGTAAGCCATGCAAAAAGCAAGCCAAGATAACTTTTTATTACTAAAAGCCAATATTCTCTCGAAAAATCGGGAGCCCCGTTCTGAGAAGGCTCTGGGAAGTCCTTCTATAATATTAACTGTAGTCCACGTTTTTCTCCCAGAGGTTTACGAAAAGTGCAGTTTGTCACGTGCTCCTGGGGAGCTTGCTATCAGAAGAAGTCTCGTAAAACAATCGTTACGTTCGGCATTTTCCTTTGCTAAAACGAAACAGATGGCTTTCGTCAAGAACATAGCAGGCAATCCAGAATCAGTGGCTACGAATATTTATACAGAAATTAGAGATCCATAGATCATCGAGAATTTGGCTCATCGTCGGGTGGCGATACTGGGACATTGTCTTCTGAAGGCACGGCTGATTCTGATGAAGTCGCTGCTGGTTGTCGAAAGCTGAGGGCTCGACATAACTGCTCCAGCTGGCTGAGTTTTTTCTGCTGAACCACCGCGTTCTCCTCCAGTTCCTTTTTTGCCATTGTCAGCACCAAAACTTTTCTGAACGAAACTCACTTCAAAATCAAGAAAGAACAACTACTTGGCCAGTTTCACTTACTTTGATGCTTCTTCGTACTTCTGTTTCCATTTGAATGCATCAGTTTCAACTTTTTTGAAATTCGAGTTCACCTTAAAGAGATTTTTTGAATTGTTTGAAGATGTCTAAGTTGAAGCACAGACAGTAGCAAGGCATAAGCCGTGGTCACTTCCAGATAAACCGTTTACTACTCTACCGCTGCAAATGATGCAACTTGGATTTCTACTGCCCTAGCTTCAGTACATGGGAACGTCCAGCTACTCCCTCACTTTCCCTTGCTTGGGTGATCNATTAACCAAGAACCACCATGATTTTTACTTTGCTTACCGCCTTGCATCTCGAGAGGAATCTTTGTTTTACGCTTTACATCAGCCTGGAATTACTGCGGCTGCCTGCCGAGTTTTCGACAATGCTCCGCCCACATTTCCACCCACGCAACGAAACAATGTGGACAAGCTGCATACTTCATCAGAGATGCTTGTTAAAAAGCCATCGATTCGCCAATAGAAAGGGACTTTCCAGGGAAAAAAGTTGAAAATGAACACGCTGAAACAGCATTTGGACGGTAAGATGACACTCGCGGGAACGAAGGGACGTAACTGGAGTGATCCCCAGTCCTATTTAGCACAATTAACCCATTTGGTAGGTACCGAATTGAGAGACTCATGGATTTTTCATAATATGTGGACTCGTGGAATCGCTTGTGAGAAGCGTAAGATTGCGAAGCGCTCTAACGTGGAAGACGAAACCAAATGAGAGAGGGAGAGCGATTCATTTACAACGAAATTAAATCACTCGCCAGACGGATAGACGGACACACGGGGAAACTCTAACTCAAGCAAAGACGTCGTTAGCCATTCAGTGTTAGGATTCAAAAAAGACATGAGTCCTTCTCGTTTTCCTACTAGAGGTTTGCCGAAAAAGTTAAATAACTATATCAAAACTGCTTCTCACAATACCTTTGGGGATCCAACAATGATAGGGAACTTGTTCTCTCGACACGACAATTTCCGACCCAGGGGTATGCAACTTTAGGTCCAAGTTAGGTCACTTCGCACCTGCATTTCTCGGCTGGTTCATGCTAACCTCTCATAAACTCAGTCAAACTAACTAACAAATAATTTTATCGAACACAAAGTTATTTTCTTCTTCCTGATGTGCAACGCTGTACGGTGTGAAAGAAAAATAACAATGGAGCAACTAAAAATTTGTTAAAATGTAGGAGCATTCACTCTCCCTAGTTGCCTACAAGCAAAATAGTTAATATACATGTAATGATTATATGATTTTATTTTTCAGCACTTTATAATAATTGTGACAAGTCCCTAGTTCATAGGATCGCAGTAGCTCACCCGAATTCAGTGGGGATGTCAGCGCCAAGAATTTAGCAAGGGTACCCCAAAAGTAAGTGGGTTGGAGTGATTATTGCGAACTTAACTATTTGGAGACTAGCTTTCCCCACTTCAACCGAAACACATGAAACTTGATCGACCACTTGACCTTCCTCCTACCCTGACCTCTTTGAAAACGTGATGGAGAATTCTCAATTCAGATGCTGACCGTTCCCCCGTACTGACCGACTTTTTGGATATAAGTAATCGACTAGTAAAGTCGTCTGGAACAATCTCTTTTAAAGATTGTCTATACATAGAGCTTTCACTGACGACCTCTTAAGCCTCCGCATTCTCGGTCTTTTTAACTTTTGCTTTTCTTTCAACTTTTTACAAAATGAAGAGCAGAGACGTATTCATTTGGCTTCCACTTTTCATCATTTACCACTCATACAGAAAAACTATAAAAAACGAAAGGGTCTTTTCTATACCACGCTTTCATTCTATGTCCGGGATGTCAGTTGAACAACTCAGGTCTTTCAGGAGTAAAACACGAAAACCCTGAAGAGCTTCCATGTATCCTATTCAAGGTCAATTATTACTCGACCAAGTTCTAAGGATACGTAAGATTCCGGTGTTTGCTATGCCGAACTGTTTACACTTCGTCTTGAAAACAACAGGATGACCAAACTAAAAATTTATGGGTCAGGTTTGCTCGGAAATGTTCGGAGCCTCAAGTGCCATTTACGCTCGAGATGTAACTCCAGATCTTGGCCCCCAGTGCACCATTTGTGAAAGAGTGTCTGCGATGGGACCTCTCTAATGAAAGAGGCGATGAACAGCTACAAAATCGACTGCAACATTAAGCGAACACATCTGAAAACCATATAGGGTACTGAGCAAAGAGCTTTTCCATGGAGATCTCGTTCAGCTAGTGTCGCAGCAGAACACTCTGTTCCACTTATTTCTCGTTCTAACTGCTGTTATTTCGCAGGAGTATGTGGGGCGAAACTCCCACAAGGATGGCAAAATGTGAGTGAAAATTCGTCCTACGAGATCTGAACCCCTTCTTGTACACGGAAAATACAAGTATGAGCTCGAATACCATCCAAGGCCGAACTTTTGCCACCATTGCCATCTCTATGCGACTCTATTTCTTCCTCTTCTTCTCCTTCTTCCCCTCCCTAGCGTTAATCCTGCACCGTCCCTGGGTCCGCTGTTATCGTCAGCCGTCTTCACTTCTTTGAATCTGGGGCGTCTTCTGCCGTTACCTTGGTATCGGTGAGGAACTTCTTGATCATATTCCATGACTTTTCCTTAAGAGCTTCTTAGAGTCGCTTACCCTGAGCCTTGAGTAAGCCTCCACTCCATTGCCTACCTTATCGGATGATTCGTGTTTTTCTTAGGACATACATGAACCACCGCAGACGCTGCTCACTCATCTTTGTCTGGACAGGGGCTGTTTGGGTAGCTAGCCTAACGTCTTCGTTTCTGATCCGGTCAAATTCGGTCCAACCGTAGGCCCATCTGAGCATCCTCATTTCAGCGGAGTGAAGCTGTCTTTCATAGCTTTTTTTTCCACGAGACAACGTGAGCCTTCCCAGTGTCCGACACACCTTTCCTTTAAACGTCCTGGAATACAGACGGTCGCAGAAATAACCGGACTTCCCCCACTACCCACTTCTTCTATGGCGCGTTTATTCAGGATTTCACAGCCTGGTCCACGCTACCACCAGCGGCTGATCACCCCCCCCCCCCCAAATATCGGAAGTTCTGTGACCTTTCGATGGCTTCACCGAAACTGTCTACGATTGGCTTTGTGCGGAGGGAGTTATTCTTCTTCCTGTTCAACCGTGCCTATTCTCCGCCAGCTATTTCTGTTTTTTCTCCGACTTGCCCTCCAGTTCTTCGTTGCTGTTCGTTATCAGAGCGATGTCATCAGCGTAAATAGTGGTCTCAGTGGTCTAGATCCCTGATGATCCCTAACCGTGACTTCTATTGCTTCGGTTGGCCGTGTGGAGTGCGTGTTGTTGTCGTGGAGGCATCGTAAATGATCTTGATCAAAGAGTTCATGTGTTCTGCAACGTTCCGCTTCCGGAGCGCTCTCCAGAGACTTATTATGGAAGACAGCCGAATGCCTTCTCCAGATCGAGTAATTCTAGGTAGCAGGGTCTAAGTTTTTCTCGATACTTCCACATTACTGTCGAGCAGTAAAGACGGCATCCGTTGTAGAACTTTCAGACACAAAGCCAAACTGCTCGTGTGAAATATGTAAGGATTAGTTCCGTCAACCTTGAGTCGATCAACCGCTCGTAGTTTCATTGTGTGAGCAGCCAACCTGATTCCACTGTAGTTGAAATACTCTACCGCGTCTTTTTTCTGCTTAAAGGTGCGAACGATTGTACTGCTCATCCACGCATCTGATTCTTTCATTAGTCTTTCATTAGTGGTCCCAGTGTTCAGGAACCCAGTAAGCTACTTTATCCCGCGCACTGCAAGCGTCTTCCGCGCCTCAATTGGTACACCATCCAAACTTATTGCCTTCCCAACCTTCTTCTTTCCTATTGCTCTACGCAACCCATCCTTTCTTTAGAGTTCGAGGGGACCAGCTGTCGCCTTTAAGTGATGGCTGTTCTTATGGGAGAATTTTCGTTCGTTCAGGAGCCTTTCGAAGTATTAATTCCACTACATCTGACCTCATCAGGCTTCCTCAGAATTGCACCCTCGCTGTTCTTAACAGGCCGATGTCCTGGGTGGCCCGCTCTCGCCAGCCTTCTTGACCATCGAGTTTCTCACATTAGGCATTCATTTTCGTATTCTTTGCCTTCGCAACAGCAGCCTTCGTGAGCCTCTTGGAATTCCTGTCGGCATCTAGGTCTTATGGATCTCGCATCTTTTGCTAGCGCTTGTAGGCCTCTTTCTTGTTCCGTTTCATCCAGTATTTTCTAACAGCTTCCACCACCGCATCCTCCGTTCCGTTCCGTCCTTGACTTCTTGGGAGGATCGATGGCTATGTCTTCTAGGAGAAACCTGCGCAGGGTATCATATCTTCGCCTAGCAGTACCTTTATGTCCTTAACAGTTTTGGAGATGACCCTCTTACGAGTATGTAGTCTGTTTCCTCAGCACCGCTCTTAACACTTTCCATTCGTGAGCAAATGCGCCGCAGTTTCCGAATCTCAGAAGAAGGCAAAGAGTTACAAGAAACAATCTGACCCTTTTCATGGGTTCCGGCATCGTGGTGAGAGACATGCGTATCTTCTCGAATTTCTTTTCGTCAAAAAGCTTATAAAGCTTCCGAAACCTATGCAGATCGAAATGTCATAACATGGAGAAGACTTTTCTTATCGAAATAGAACATACCCGGCAGTCATTTCCTCGTGTTTCAGGTTTCGTATCGTCATCGGGATCAGGCAAATGTGTTCGGAAAAGGGCTCGTAACTGAGACAAGACGACCGTCTTGAGGCTCGCCGTTGACTTGTCCACACAACGTTCGAGAGACTATCATGCGAGAAATGTCAAAAGGAAGAGCGGCACCGAAAAATGGCCCACCAAGTGCGCGTAAAGACGGAACGGCTGCTGGATGATAACAAGGCTTCAATCCTCCAGCAGCCGTATGATTGAGTCGCAAACATATGTATAGGCGCCGTCATCGCTACCCAGTCGCAAGCAATAAATCGGATTTTCTATTCTTCATATGATACTGCCTTTGATCTGTCCTCATCCTACACTATCACTCATTCTTTGTCAAGCTATTCTACGAATCCGTTTTATTTTATGAAACATTGAAATATCAAGACTACATCGCCTAACGAAAAGGCTACAGACTAAAAATTTTATATGCCCCCCCCCCCCCTCCCCCACCTCACATAAACTTTGAGCAGCTGTTACCATTATTTGTTATTCCCTATCTTCGATCCATTCAACCCTATAGGACACACACCGCAGTAGCAACGCCTTCTGCTATGCGAAAATAGGAAGTGATCTAGTGGCAATTATCACGAAGTGATAGTTGTGACCACTAGAGCTATTGTAACGTGGGCATCACATGTCCATAAGAGCTTATCTACAATCCTGCATCAAAAGAAAACATGGATTCTCTGCCCTGCAGCTGCAGCTCGCAGCGTGGTACATATTACAGTACCTCACCTGAAGCTCCGTTTACGTTTCATTTCTAGCAATTAAGCACAAACACTGAAGTACTTCAGAAAGCAGATTCTCCAAAGTACGTATGGATAACAACCAAATCCCGAATTTTCCTTAGATTCAACTCTGAGAAAATATTCCTATCAATGTGAAGAGTTCACGGCTGAGGGTATTTCGATGACAGCCCTAAGCTAGCTTCCGCTGGCAACACCTAACCCCATGTTCTCTGAGTACACTGCAGTCGATTTGGTGCCATCGACAGTATAGGCAGTACAGAGATGTGGAAAGATAGAAATAGTAAGCGGTATGTTTGATATTCAAGGATAAACTGACCAATGTACTTGGACGCTAAAAGGCCGCTTAGCGAATGTCCCACTCATCGCTGTCCTTACGCAAACTTTTCCCTGGAGATTTAGTTGAAAAGAATAAATTCAGGTTCATCCTGTGAGTAAAAAGAGGTAAGTTTATAGATCGATCCCCTGATTGAGGAATGAAAACCGCAATATTGTACTTGTCATCAACATCCATACACTCAACAAATACTACTCACTCATCGAAGTAACATGTTTCCGTTATTGTCACGAAGAGTTTTACAGACTCGGGTGTCTTGCCTTCCATGGCTGCTTATCAGCCATTACCTCTGTAATCAATCATCTTAGGTCCATTCACCCCCACATCAATGACCAAAATCCAGGTCAAGATCCTGTACCCACCATAGGTGTTCCTATCCTGCGCACAGTATTCCTACCTAATTACAACGCTCTAGGCCCACGGAGACATTAGATACGATTTTCCGGTCGAACCCCGTCCATTACGGGCGGAGTCCGGACCTGCTATCCACCATAGTGTTCCCAAGCTGCCGTCTGTGCTCGTACCAAATTTGGATGCTCTAGGTCCACGGTTGAACCAGTCAGCTGATATCGAACCTACAAAGCTTAAAGCATTACTTCTTATAACTTATTTGACTTTGACTTGTGGTTTTGTTAACTGCTGTTATTTTGCAACAGTTTGCAATACGAACGTTCCAAAGTTTGGGAGTTATGGACAAAACTTGACGGAACTCGTATCCACACTTGTGCAATACAGGCACCGTGCTTTCACCTCTTACATTACCGAAACCCCGTTTCGTTAGCCTTCATAATGGCTTCGAATTTTTCATATAAAGTGAGAAATGATGATGCTTTCATCTGTACGTAGGATTACGACTATAAAACGTTTTTGAACAAGTTGTGTATTTTTGACATAAGCTTCGTCACCATGAAAGTTTGACCATCCTCCCCTCAGCAGCCTCTGTCCACTTTTTTTTTGCAGATTCCAGAACGTTTCCGAACCATGCTATGAATTTTTGCAAACAGCAACATCTATTCAAAGCTCTGCACACCGTAGGCACAGCTTCGCTTAGCTCACGCTTAGACCTCGGTTACTCCAGCATTTTTTCTGACCTCCAGGCTTCGAGTGAAGCGACTAATGACTTTATGTAGAAAGCACCGCCCTTTCTGAAAGTTCCGTCGCCGCGAATGGGTCTTTTCTTTGGCTTGTTGACCCTCGCCTTTCCAACCTTCGCCCATGTTTTCGCGATGTATGGGGAATGAGACAGTAAAACCGATTTGAGGCCTGTCGTTGACCAGGCCACTGACCGCTTAATTAATTAGAAGGTCGTGCGAGGAATGTCGAAACTAGCGACTCGGATTAGAACTCACAGATGCTCGCTTAAACGGGAGACTGCTCAATGAACGTGGATGAGAACCGTAATGGTGCCTTAGATTCGTGACCTACACGGTGCAGCAAAACATACCTCACCCCTGAAATCTATTCTCGACGATATGGGGAATCTATAAAGATGAGGAGACCTCTGGGTAATATCATCCATATGACTTCTCCATATCAACATTGTAGTTATCAACGGTGAACAATATTAGCCTTCCTGGGCACGAGGCATTAGTATGCTATGTAGGTTGATTACCCTTAAAAGTTGTGCTGTGACGGGTGAGTGTATCCAGGAATTGTAAAGAGCTGAATGCTCAGTGAACGATTGTCGCTCATTAAGTCAGAAAGCAGCAGAAGGGGTGCAGATCGTTATTCACCTTGCACTTATTATATAGCGTCTTTTAAGACTCGCTATAGTTGTAAAGATCCGCCAACGGTCGTGATGCAAAACACGTTATGTTAAGGATTGCGCCAACGCGGTATTATAATGAGCTATGAAGGTAGTTACATAAGGATCATGCTCAAGTATCTGAAATGATGAATGAAGCGCGAAATTTTGCGATGAAAAGTGTTGGTCAGTGTGAAGTGGAACGATGAGAGTGATGAAATGGCCTGGTATTCTGACTTTGGCACAGAAAGGAAGAAGGACGGCTCAAGCTTATCAATCTAACTCTTAAATAATAAGTGTTGAGTCACATACGCTCCCAAACAGGTCTGATACCCGTGATAGTTGACTGAAAAATAGCTAGAGAAATGAAGGCTAATTACTGTGAATTGAAAACGAACCCTATCGATTTCCTTTTTGAATTTATCGAATGCTGCATTGCTTTCAGCAAGACTTTTCGTGATCTCCTCGTATCGCCCTGCGTACCGCTTCACCTAAAAAAAGCTCTCCCTCGTCGTGGTCATATTTTATGATGTCCATTTTAATTTCCAGATACTGATCCAACAGAAGCCACCTTTTCATTCAGAGACAATGAATAAAGCTTTCAATGAGTGGTGTTACCATTGTTCCAGTAATAGTGTATAAATCAATTCTGCGTCGCTATTTAAATAGCGGAGGACACAGCAATTACGTTTAGGAACTTGGATGAAAAGTTGCTTGATATGAAAATTTGTTCAAATGGTCAGTTAGAGGTCTAGAAGACGGTGAGGGAAAACGAAGGCTCGATATTAATCACCTCCTCATCATAGCCTACACAATTGAACTTTGCAAGAAGCAGAACATGGCTAAGAATCGTGTAAAAAGCAGGACATGTGTTAAGCTTGCATTGATTCACGGGTAAACGAACGTTCAAAACAGTTTTACCAGGCGAGCTTGAACCAATAAATGAAATCTGTGATCTCTCGAAATCCATTATGAACGTGGCAATTCCTTTTAGAAGTCAATGCTTCCACCTAAAGTGCCGTNAAAAAATGTGTAATTAGCATTTCTTGATACTTCGAAAGGTTCGAAAACAACTGCCCTCAAGGAATTGAGAAGTTAAGCAAGCGCCTTCTATTGTTGGAATTCTGCGAGGCATGAGCGATAAAATAGCAAATAGAATTAATATCGTATTTGATGAGCAAAGGATCCTACCCACCTCTTCACGTAATGCTTTTTCATTTTCTAGAGCACCTCCAATTCGAGCTGTACCTTCAACAAACGTTCTCGTCAATTCCTCCTTCTCTAGGGCGGATTTCTGTAAGAGAGTGAAATGAGAATGCTCGCTAGCATACATAAGCAAACAGCTGGATGAACCTGAGCAAGAATTTCAGCAGCTTCAAGTTTTGTTTTGAGCAATTTGATTTCGATGTCCTTGGCCTTGTTATACTCTTGCCAATAGTTGTCCTTCTCCTTGTACTGGAAATGGACAGTAATACCTAAACTTAGAATCGCTTGCAGCCGACCCTAACCTGCAGCTGGATAGTATTCATCCTTGACTCGTATTCTTCTCCGAGTTCCTTGAGTTTCTCTGCCAATCTTCCATTATCGGCAGCTAATGCATCAGAGCGTATACGTCCCTCATTCATACTTGCTTCAATCCCCTAAAAACCTAATTGAAGACACAGTCTACGATAATTTTGAGGTACCTAGTTTTAGTCGAAATGTGGAAGTGATGGTGCAGAATAGTACAAAAGGGCTAACAATATTCGAATGGATTCTTTAGAATATTAAGGTTTGATTTTCAAGTAATCAAAATAATCGCGCCTAGCTATTATAACTCAACAATTTATCAGTAGGGGAACTCCGCACAAGGAATCCTGATGACTGAAACCCATTTCTGAGCAGTGTGCAGGGTAACCGTAAGTGCTGCCCAGAATTTCTCTCAGAAGAGTTACAGGGCTTCACTACTTCTGCATTTGTGGTATTTCGACGTTTCTAAACTGCTTACAAACAAGTCATCGAACTCGTGAATAAGAAAATAGGTACAGGAAAAAAGCAATATTTTCGGAAGTCCATAATTCAATAGTAATTGCAAAAAAAGAAGCCTTTGAAAGTTTTTTTTACACATCACCTTCAAAGCTCCTCGAAGCTGTTCAACGGCTTGATGTCGTTCATGTTCGAGTAATCGGACTTTATTCAAACTATCCTCACGAATCTGAACAATACACATAATTCGTATTAAAAATGACCAACACAGAAAAAGATAAGGGACGAAACCGCACGAACCTGTTTATTCATTCTCTGCAACTCTCGACATAATTCTTCCAGTTTTCCTTTAGCATCTTCTGTTTTTAACAGAATTTGATTCGCTTTCTCTAATTTCTTCTCCAATGCTGAGTTTGCTTTGGTAAGTTTTTCTACCTGATAATGAAAAGCAAAAATAAAACATTCTGGATTACCGGACTGTTAGATGATCGCTCTTCCAAAAGTACTTCAAAAACATTGACAATCGAAAAAATAGAACGAATTTGCCATAAGAGATAAACAGATAGAGCACACTATTACACACTAACCTGAGCAGCCTTCTCCTTCAGCTTAACGTTATGTTCTTCACTATCGGCGAGTCGCTTTACTAGCTTGGTTACCTTTTCCTCCAGACTCAACCCTTCCAATGACTTCTGTATGCTGTCCATACCTAAAATTTTAAAGAAGCCTACAACACAGTACCAACATGAGTGGAAACAACAGTTTTTTACAAGTGACGTCTTGTGTAGAAAAAATGTTTGAAGGATAGCAATTACAGTATCAAGCAGAGGAATTGAGCAGATTGAATTCTGTCATGAAACCTAAAGAATTTTCCCCACAACTTTGATGGTTGGGCTCATTCAGAGGAAGCACCCGTTTGACGAAAAACCTAGACCACTTTAACATATTTCCAATCCTCCCTTATGCTTAGAATAAACGAAGTGATGGGAAGATTTTGGCCCTATTCAAGATTGCTTAGTGGTAATCTGAAAAAGCTAGGTCAGATCTATGAGTTGGATCGGGGAAAACTTAAGCAATACACTTCACTTTCCCCTGATTTTTCGTACGATCGGTCTAGAGGCACGTGAAGGAAGTAGCTGTAGTATTAGTTGATAGAAGTTTAATTTCTAAGGACGGGCCGATTGGTCAGTACACTTTCCTCGACAAGTTGGCTTAAGCAGCCGCCGAAACCCAAGAAACGTTGAGCCACCACTACGAATGAGAAAAGAAAGCATATAGCGCATTTTTTTACCACCTGTAGACAAGATGGATAACGCTTAGGAAATCGTGAGAAATAAAAGACATCCTATGTGTCCAGTCAAGACTCATCTCATCGAGTCTTTTCTCAAATTTTTAGGTTGTGCTGAATTTAATATGAATAGGTGCAAAGGCGTGCTGCAAGCGAAAAAATTCGTCTTTAGCGCATGTTCTAGCCCCTTGTGGCTTAAATTTATTATCAGAGTACCACACTTAAGCGTCCATTAACGGTACCACCCAAAAACCAAACCCTTGAAGAGTTCCACGAAAAATGGAACGGTTGCCAAGGAAGTTAATCGAACTATTTGACTGATTAGACTTGCCAGCGTGGATATCACTTCACATCCCAGTACAATATCAAACTTCAAGATTTTTTTGAAATTTTTCACAGAAATAACTGTAACTCCTTAAGATATAGATGGACAAATATAAACGGGAACCTAGCACACGTGGATTCCTACGATTCTAAATAGTACAACTACCGGTAATTGACAGCCAGCCCTCCTTTACAACCCTTCTATTTTGTTGTTATGGTATGAAAGTTGTTGTAACAGCGGTTGGATTGGTTCAGTGAGAACTAATTCCTGTAATTCAGCGCCGTCTATGAGCAATAGGAGCAGATTGCGGAATAGTCAATAACAGACCTTGATACATTCAAATGGGGCTAATAACAGCGTCCCGTTCAACCCCCGCTATCAACTGGACTTCGAAAATCTGTTCAGGTTATACAATGAAAAATTTGAAAACTTAGCTTTGTTTCATCTTTTGAACGCGAGTAATTAGAAAGAACTGAAATAATTTATCGGCATACACAGAC